TGTGCAATTTATCCAAATGTGCTTGGATGGATGCATGTGATGAAGAGAAAAAGCAAAAGAGAAAGTGAAAGCGAAACGGCGAGTAATGTATATGCACGCGGATGCGCCTAGAAGAGTATATTTATATATTGGAGGAAGTTCCAAAAAAACCGTCAAGCTGTTTCTTTTTTTTCTTTTTTTTTTTTACACCCAACAGCGTCAGAGAATCGCGCACACATGGTGCATTATCTTTTACAATTTTAGTTTTTATTTTGAGCATTTTTTATTACTTTGTGCGCGAAAGAAAACTGAAGCGAACGGGAGGTAAGCGTGTGAATAAAATCGCGAGTGTGTTTATTCCCGTGAGGCTATTTTCCGTGAGGCCAGAAAAGTTTAGACTTTTCACACAACTGTATAAATCGACATGGCGATAAAGGTGACATTTAGTAGAGATTGTAGTACAATACAATACGTCAAGACTAAACGTTAACGTTTCGGATTTCCCGAGATTTTTCTCTTAGAAATTTATACGAGGAATTTACGTCCATAAATTTCTTTTACAAGCTTTCGCGTGGTTTACGATAATAGCACAATCTGTTCGATCCTGCATCTTGTTCCGAACAGGGAAAACTAATGTAATCGATGGTCTGATAACGATTATATATAGCAGATTATGTCTATAGAGCGTCAAAGAGAGAGAAAGAGAGAGAAGAGAGAGATCTCGCGTGCAATATTGACTCTAATTTCCGAAGAAATATGAAATATCCTGTTACGTGATTACTGAGAAAACAAAAATTAGAAAAAAAACAATTTACCACGTCAACAAAAAAAAACAAACAAATAGTTTATGTCAAAGAAAATGTAATTAAAAAAAAATTAAAATAGTATTTTTTATTACATTCTCTTTCTTAAACAAACTAAATTATAAACCTTGACTTAATAGTGAAAAAAATCAGAAATCAGAGTAGAAATTATATCAGTTTTGTTATCGTGTCTCTATACATATAATGCAATATAATTTCTCTGATCTATTTTTTAACACACTTTGTATTATCTACAAAATCTTTACGCCGTTACTATGTGCGTTAATATGTTACTGGTATTATATCGATTATTATGATTCATTTTGAGTACAAGTTTTGATTAATTCGCTTCGAGATATCCTTCAAGACAGACGATCAAAGCCGACACGAGATCTCAGACGCGAATGAATGGTGATTTATTTCTCCCGTCTGCTCTATTTTTGTCACGCGCGTGCAGTCGTATCTTTTCCCAGGCTAGGTCCAGGATATACTCATGTATCCGGATGAACGACTCACCAAAGTCGTCTGACACTCAGCAGAAACACCACGTGCGGCTTATTCTTGTCTTTGCGAGACGCCGTTTCCGGTAGATCACACATCCGTGACAGAATAGAGTCAATATTAAGTTTACTATATTTGGCTTAATTCGAAAAAGATAAGATAAGATAAGATAAGAAGGCCTGTGTACCAATAATAATTTTCAATAAAGTACCTTTATTAGGTTATTTTCAATTAGGTCAGAAACTCGAAATTAAGAAACAAAATTATTCCAAAATTTTGTTATATTGTCTTGTTTTTAAACTAGTGATTGTACGCAATCTCTCATTCAAATCTTAACTTGTCTGATTTTATCTGCGATAATTCTTGACTCCAGAAAAGAAAATGATACGAGTCTTGTTTCGAGTAGTCTAACTAATGAAATGCTCGCGTGTCAACGTAACTTAACGCATGTGTAGCGTAACGCTCAACTTAAAAGTGACGACGCCGGCTATTTGCAAGGCATTCGGCGAATAGGGTCTCTGTAGTAAGAGCTTAATATAGCGCGGTCATAAGCCTCGAATTCTGGGCCAATAATGTCATGGTTCTTTTCGCAAAACTATGAGAAAGAGAGAAAAGTAATAATTAAAATTGTTATATGCAAACCAAAATCGTTACTCTTTTTTATATTTGTTTAATTTTAATAAAACTTTTTGAAGAAATGCAATTATCTCTGAGTATAAACGTGATTCACTCAATGTAGTTCTTATTTTAACTTCTATTCAACACCGACGAATGCAAATTTGCAAATGATACGTGATGTAAAACAAACGAGCATCCGGCGTGTGTACTTGGCCGTGTTGCAAAAATATGTGCGAGGAGCATCTCGCACAAAGTAAACGGATTTACAAACAGAAAGCCGAACACGTGCGGAACCGGAAGTAACACATTGCGAGAGTCAAATAAAATTTAAATCAAATCACTTTCGCAACTTTCTTCTACGTACTTCAGATTTGTGCGTTGTAAAATATTATTTTAACATAAATAATTAATTAAAAACTTTCAATTAATGAAACTTTTAATATTCAATTTTATAAGAAAATCACATCAGTTTAATAAATTACGATTGTCGAATTTTAAACATACGCACACACGCACAAATTGTAACACGAGTTTTATGTATATATTTTTCTTAAAAATAAAATATTGCAAAGCAAATAATTTTCATACTAAAAATTCAAAAACAAAAATACTTAAAATAGCACTTCCGGTATTTTGATTTTCTTCTTCGTAAAATGCACATTTGCGATAAGAATATCAGTTATACGCGTATTGTCACAGCGCTTATATACTGTATATCTCTTATTACATCATATTATTTTTTTATACGTGTTACTTCGCATGAGTCACACATTCTCTGGTGATAAAACAAAATAATAACCACTGATTTAATATTTACATCAATAAAAATTGAATTAATATAACAATCGCACATTTTACAATGTACCTGTACTTAAGGATTTATAAATCTTACATATTTAAAAAAGTTTGGTGTATTTTTATATAATATCTTTAAAATAAAATCAAAGAATCTGCATTCCGTGACAAAATATTATTGGCATAAAATCGACTTCATGTGTAGAATAGTATACACGTATAATGATTGTTATTTTCGAGACGCGTATATGGGCGTTGGTCTTTCTTCGAACATAAAACGTTCGAACAGTCCATTTCGTCCATTACAAGCTTCGTTGAGTACGCCACTTTCGCCAATCAAACTTTCCTTCGGTCGATAAACCGTAATCCAACTAGTTCCCCCCTTCTTTTATGTTTCTGGTCAAATATTCTCATCATTAGTGAGTGCTAGTGCTCGTTTATTATCAAAGGTTTCGATCTAAAACCGTTTTTTTTTTTTTTTTTAATATGTATATGTTTAGCCAAAAGTGAAAATATGTAATCTTGTTATTTTTATATTAATTAAAACAAAAATATTCAATCAGTCAATATGCTTTTAAAATTTGTTACTGTATTTCCTCTATCGTTCTGCAAAACGACGACTCTCTTACTGCATGTCATCCCAAGTAGAAGTGAAACAAAATCACTACCTCCGAGAGAAGATAATAAAAAACTCCCGTTTACGTAATCACATGCATGTAGGTAATCCTCGCACTCCGTGATGCGTTAAATATTTAAATTACCCGGAAAGGCAAATCTCCTCTTCTAGAGAGGAAGGAAAATCTCGCAATTCGCGGTCTGCTCATCAGCATAGGATCTCGACGGCTAATCTCTTCGATTATCTGCGGCAGATGCAATTATAACTAAGCCTTAATTTACCAGTTTCTGATTGAATCTGTCGTGCTTAAGTAAAAAACAAATAAGTATTGTAAAATTTGTTAATTTGTTTTTAATTATTTAATTAATTATTTGCTTGCTTCTTATATGATATATATATCTTTTATAGCGATCTCTCTCTTACGATTAAAGCTTGAAATAAGAGAAATATTGAAATGCTATTAATAATATAATTACTTAATTAACTGATTTAAAATGATAAATAACCAATAAAATTAATATAAGAAGTATATTAATTTATCTTAGTAATAAATTTTAAAGAATAAATATTAATTTCTTTTCTCAATAATAATAATTATTTTTACAAACCAGCAAATTATGTAAAGTGTTGAATATTCGCGATGTCAAGACTTTGTTTTAATGACCAATGGCGATTAAATATTCTTCGTCTCAAATAGATGCAAGAGTCAACAGATATCGGCATACAAAGCAACATATTTGCAAGTGAGAAAGTCAGGCGAGTTTCGCAATGTCCAGACGCGATTCGATCGAGCAAAGAAGACTGGATGTCGGTCGCGTTCCCCTTCACCAGAGTTGAGTTGACCACAACTCAAACTCTGACTTCAATCAGTCACAGGAGCACATATAATTTCCTGTGATATTGAAACACTCTACAATATTCACCCTAAATTTCCTTTTAACACCCTCAATATCCTTTTCTTCTGACAGAATTTTTGTTTTTTTTTAATTGAAATAAGTAAATATGACGATTTGATATATTTTAAGTCCTGATGTTTTTACGCTATCTTATAATTATATTTGTACAGTTGATAGAAAAAGATACACATAGACAATTGCATTGTGCAAAATTTTATTTCGAAATATTTATTCTCTCTCACTCGCTAAATTTAATTGGATTTTTGCGTCAAGAAAAATTTGTAAATTTATGCTTCTGTACGCCATTGCCTCAAAAGCATGTGCATTTCAATGTAAAAAGACACCTAGTGAGAGGAATATAAGATAATTATATTTATGCCTCTATGTCTGTTGAAGGTAGTGAGAACAGAAGTTGTTTTGTCACAACAACGTATAAGAACGTACACAGACAAATAATCTATACGTGCGCATATAGACAAATAGCAAAATATCTAAACAACATCGTTATTTTAAACACTGGCTCAAGAGTTAAAATATTAAAAATTGGAGTACTGATAAATATGATTGTGTAAAATGAGATTTGATCTAAGAATAAGAATAATACAGTATCTTTGTCTCTAGAAACAAGTAACTGTTGATTTTTTAAAAATGTTATTGTCGTAACTTTACGACTTGTATGCGTGTGTACGCGCATATTACCAACGCGTGTCCTTCGCGCCGATACCCACATCTCTCGCATAAAACGACAGTCTATCGACCCAGATCCATGTGATTATCAGTAGTTGCACTTACCTTAGCTGAAAGAATTAGCAACAGCAGAAAGACGCCGTTGAATTGGGTTACCGGTTGCGAACTGAAGACTTTACGGTTCGTCATCCTCGTTAAATGTAATTTTTTTTTTGTTCCGTTTTTTATTTTACCAACTTCGAAATCTCCGCTCTTCCCCGACAGCAATTGCTCTCGTTCACTTCACCGAGAGACATTCACTACCACCTTACCACGGGAAATGACACCCACGAGAAAGGTACCTTCGGCGTCCACTTAAGTATTGAGGAATGCGCGAGGAATGTGCGTGTCACATCAATCGATCGACGACACTGGAACTTACTTCTTCGAGCCGCGATGCGCGCGTACAGTATCACAAGAAATCACGTATCCCACTCCAGGCACCTCGTGCTAACATCTGTTCGGTAGTTTGACAGTTACGCCGGTGTCGGAGGTAGTGACGGCGACAATGACAGAGGAGCCGAGGGATTGCGATAGCAGAAACGACGGCTGCCATATCAGCCGGCGAGAACCGCGTGTCGCCAAGCCTTCTGGCAGACTGAACCTAGGCTACGATATCGCAAATGCAAAACATCAGGAAACAATGACTAAGTTGTGTCGCGCGAGTCTCGTTCTCGTCGCTGCTTTTAGTTCTCGGATTCTCCCACTCCGATTCGGCGCATCTCTTCCGTGATGGATGCCTCGGAAAATTACGTAAATATTCCCGGGGTTTAATGAGAGTCCAAGTGAGATTGAGAGAGAGAGAAAGATTCTCACCTGAACTTCTTTTTTCAACACACTTCTTACGCGGACCGCATCATCATCTTCAGACGTCGTGCCGGATGAAAAACGATTTGATTCCGCGTGTTACACGTACATTCACGTCGAAAGTGTGAATCCCCCGCCATGGAATGTTTCTATATAGTGTCAATTTTGAAAATATATCTCAATATGTATTTCTTCCGTGTTGTTTCGCGTTTATTTTATTACTTCAGAGAAAGCGAGATACAAACATCTAATATATTTTTCATTTATTTATTATTACGTCCTACATCGTTGCATCTAATGCTGAAAATGTGTTTGTCAGCGATATATGTACATACATCGATATTTATATTAGCAAAGAGTAATGGGTCTTTACCTCTCGCACTTGTCGTGTTTTTTCGTTTTGACATTCTTCATAATTTTCAGCAGAACACCAGGCGTTTCGTTCACTAAACACAAGACAGTTTTGTTTGTTTCACAATACACGTAATCATCATATAACATATTACCCCGTAACTATCCGAAGACAATTACAAAATCGCTTTATTTTTACGCATAAAATTCTCTTATTGCGGTAGCTTCACTTTTATTTCGCATATGTTCTCTTCTTTTTTTTGTTTGTTTTTTTTTTTTTTTTTTTAATTTATCTATCTGTTCGCTATAAAGTGTGATCAACCGCTCTCTTGCGTCAGATTCCTCCCTTCGTTACTTTGCGATTTGAGCACTCCAGTGCGCGGAGCGAAATAACGAACTATAAGGGTGGCACCCTTCGGCGCGGTCAACGTGACAACAATGAGGTAACGAAGCAAGCTTCACAAAACACGGGAAAAAGCCAGGAGATTGTTCGGAAGCGCGTGATTTTGTCTGAAAACGGCCAGTTTAATTACTTTTCCTTTATTGTTGTTGTTACAACGTACCTCATTTTTCAATCGTATTGCGATAATATTTCTTATTTAATCAGACGTTGTGTCACGAAAGTATAGCTTTGATAGCTTCAGTTCTTTGTATACCGCGCAATTTCTTCTCTCGTTCAGACTTCTTCTAACTTGCCATCGCTTCGTTCGATAAAGCAAAAATCGCGAGCTCAAATGTGCGATAAAATATGACACAAAAACTGATATGTAATACAAGTTAATAATCGGATGTTTTAACGTGTTTCGTCGTTATCTCTTCCGCGGTTTCACAATCGTCCACTTACAGACGTAACTTCCTTCTGTTGTTTTATCATTATTACTATTATACGAAATAATATCACGCGTGTGAGAGAAAATTTGCCGCACGTAACACAGTTAATGACACAAAGTTACTCCGAACTAACTATCGCGTAGCAAAAATCTACGAGAAAAACAAAAGAGTATCGACTTTAAAGATACAAATGCTCCGTCTCTCAGTTAACAAAGAGCTCACACACCTGAGTATTATTTCGATGCCATTGTCTTTGCCGCTCCCAATACCCTCGTTAAACTATCGGAGGAAGATCTACTCACGCGTCGTCATAAAAATCAGCAGTCAAGAAACCAGAATTTCAATCACCAACTTTCTAACTAAATAACACAAGACAAGTTCTTTCCTTTCAGTTTTCAGAGTCATCGAGAGACGTCGATCGAAAACCAGGACACTGACCGTAATATTCGTCACCACTCCAATCGCGATACCCTACCGAGACAGAGAACAGCCCTCAAATTCCCAATCTCATTCACTAGTTTGGAAAATCCGCTTTTGTTAACTCAGATCCGCTGTCTGCTCGCCGTCATCCCGGGGATATGGAAAACATCGGGAGAGGGGAGAAATCTTGAAGAAGATCAGTCGGTCGCCGAGTGTTGTGCTCCGAATTTGGACGAATTTGAATTTTGAAGGGTTGTTGAGACGGAGAGCGAACGAAGCGTTCAACGTGCTCTCGTACGGCCGTAAATGCTGTCGGTCGACTGGCGCGCTTTCATGACGCCTCACCCGGTGCGGGCGACCACCAGGGCCAACGGGACCTCGGTTGCTCTCTCAATACTCCACTCGTGCCTCCGACCGAGGCAGCGCCTGGCTAAGCCGCTCACCGCCTCGCCCCTCACTTCTGCCACCTCGTCGAGCAACCTGGCTGTCTTTTCATTCCGACTCTGCCTCTCGCTCTCTTCTTCTCTCCTCTGCCCGCTTTTTGTCTGCCTCCTTCGCTCCACCAACCTGGTCTGTCCCGGCTGGATATTCAACGCAGTCGCCATCACTACTGCATCCGTTGCCTCGACTCCCACCAACTGTTCACCTGTCTTTCTCTCTCTTTCTCTTTCTCTCCTACTTGCTCTTATCAAATATATTGTGAATGTGTACGTGTGTTTGAGATGTACGAACAAGTACGATTCGATTGTATACGAGCAAGTCCAGTAACGTAGCTAGAAGATGAAGAGAACGAGGTACACGAGTATTTAACAGATGGAATTCTGTTATTTATGAAAATATTTTTTCTTTTTGCAAGGAAAAATTTTCTAATACAAATAAAATGTGTGTTCGTTATATCTAGAGTTTCATGTTGTATAAGAAATATTTTCTTGAAAAGACATTTATCTCGGCTATTCAGTCTCTTCATTGTAATTACTAATTTAAAATACGCAGATAGAAATCAAAGTAAATCTACAAATAAATTTTTTTAAAAAGAAGAAGAGACACTTTTTTTCTTTTTACGTGAACAAAATCTCAAATATATAATTTGATATTCAAGCAATTTATGTAATAAAAACCATTGTCTTTAACTTATAAATTGTTAGTTTACTTATTCGTGCGCGTCTTCTTTATCTCATTTTCGCCATCTTGACTGTTCTTTATTATTTGCTGTCTTCTCTCTCATTGATTTCTTAAGTAACAAAACATCAATTAAACATATGGTATAAATAAAACATTAATTTTGTGTTAGATTATTTTTTTGTGAGGAATTACTAATGCAATTCGAATTTCTAACATGACAAATTCAACGCGGTTTTAATAAGAAATCGAAATGTTGGGCGAGACTTCGTTGTTCGACAATCGATATCTCTCATTTCTCAATTACGATACGTGCATTGCCCACGTGTCACGCGTTGAACGATGGATGAAAAGCTTCTCATACAACACACCATGTCAAATCCATTCGCGGCATTTAAATGAATGGCGCATTCGCGGGAACATTCCGAAACGTGGCACCTGTGTGTAATTTCACAACCATGTTGACATCGCGTCTGCTTTTACGTCTTCTTTTTCCCCGGGCAACATCGAGTTCCCTGCCCTTTCCTGGCACACTCCTGTGAAGTAAGGTAGTAAAGCTACCACAATCTCACTTATAACTCACATGAACGCATGCACGTAGCTATACGTGTGTAAACTACCGGCCACACATGCATCTGCCACCTCCTGCTTCTTCCTCTCCATCATCATCTCTCGCTACACACACCTTCTCTCAATCCTCACCGCGCCTCGCCGTTGTTCCCCCGGCCTTTGCCCTCCACTACGTTGTTCCTGAAGCGACAGTCGCCACCTGACACGCGCGCGTGCGCGCGCTAATACACACGCACAAATCTCACCGGTGTATCACCTTTATTCATAGAAGTCATTGCTCTCTCACACCTACGCAGGTGTCCCTGCGAGTCCCCCGAAGCCAGAGACGTGATTAGCGTAATTAGTGCCCTGCTGTAGTCTATGTTGGAATTGTAGCGACGCGTGTTAATTTCGCAGGCGATGCCTAACAGAAAATGTATTGTACATAGAAAAATCAATATCATGTCAGTGACACAAGTACTCAGGAAGCTTTCTTTTATTTTGACACTAAAACTTATAAAAATATGTATAAAAATTATAGATAAGAATTCATAAATATTTTCTATTTAAATATAAGGTTTTTTATTACTATTTATGGAAAAACCAATAGTATATTATTCTGCGCGAACAAACTACACGAGATAGCAGCTTGAAAGATATTCTAATATCAACTCACATCAAGCTGTCGCTCAATGATAGCATCAAAAATGCATATATTCTAGTTTGCGTCATCGGAGTCACGCTACTTTCACCATATGTATTACTGATGTTTCTTCTAGTATAAAAGTGATGAATGTGAATAAGAAATATGAAACAAGAAAATGCAAATATTTTGAATTATCATATCATAAAGCAGCTAATAATGTGTAAAAGTATATAGTCTATATTTTTATTGTGTGTAGAGTTTTACACAAACTAAAATTTTTTTAAACTCAAATCATTATAGTAACATCAACAACATCATTTTCTACTATAGCAATTGTTGGTCTCATTAAAAACACCAATCAAATAATATAATTTTATTTATTGCAAATATATTTTAAGCAGAAATTAAATATACAAAATTAAATATACGAAATTAAATATACAAAATTAATTATAATTAAATATATATAAAATGAATTATTAAAATATCGTGGTTTGTGTAATTATTTTTGATATGCTTTTTTAACAACAAACGGTAATAGATCTTGTGTTTAATTTTTATGAATTTCGGCGAATATATAAATACCAAAGATCCAATAACGTGATTAGTTATCGCAATTTTCGTTAATACGCTTCTGTATGTGTTTCAATAGTGTTTCCTTCACTAAATTAGTTTTATAAATGTGACTACATAGTTCTCTTTCATGTGCACAAACGTGCACTTTGCGGCGCTCGGGAACAAGACCCGTAAATCGCGGCTGTAGCCATGTTAAGGTTTATTTCTTTGCTGCATATGTACAGCGCAAAGAGAAGATAGAAAATATATATGTATAATATATATGTATATATTCTACATTTATGCGTGCATTTATTATATGTATATTCTATATTTATGTATGATATATATTGTGAGTAGTCACGTGTATGTAAGTACATATACGTGTCATGCATATGTATATACATATATATTCGACATGTGTATATGCGCATTCGACTACTCTACCCACAATCACACATAAATGTTCAGATTTGTGAATGTATAGTGAGGATCAAACAAACTGACGTCAGCAACAGGTTTGAAATATCTTTTGTCATCTTCTATTTTCCTTTTTTTTTTCATCATGACGTCATCGTCGGAGTAGTTGGTCTGCAGACCTTATAAGAATAGACTTGTGTCTCTCATTCGGTTTAATTACAAGGAAACTAAATCATCCCGCATCATTTCTTTCTCTCTTAAATTATTATTATTATTTTTTATATTATAAGCTTATGTAATATATATGACTTAATATACAAGCTTATAGATTTACACATATTCAAAAGATTTAAAACGACTGTTTGCAAAAATGTTAATTTTGATAACAATAATTTTGTAACGTGTACAAAATGTTATATATTTTAAGATAAAAACTAAAATATTAAAGATAACAATATATAAGTTACTGCGATATCTACAATCAATAATTGACAAACTTGCAAATTGTGAAACGTGTAAACGCTGTTTACAATTTAGTTAGAGAGAGAGATGGAAGAAATCTATAATATTATTATAATCTTTGCTGAGTTTACATTGGTAATACGTCAAAAATATGATAATCTCATTAATTACGTAATGTGATCTTGATTTCGTGTTTTGACGAGTTACAGCAAAAACGCACATGTGCGTTATTATACGTGAACTGATAATAACAAATACAATTGCTTGAAATAATCTTTATTTGTGTATTTCTGCTTGATTACATATACAAACCTCACTGATAGATATATTGCAATGTGTAAAATACCTCTTCGATGATGTAATTCAATCATGAATGGATTGAACATCGGATTGATGTTTTGCAATATTGATCATCTCTCGATCTTGGAACATGATGGTCGAGGGTTTTCATGGGTCGGGGACACTTAACAATTCGCGATCTATCGCGCATGCGCACGCACTGGTCCTGTCTACCCACGATGGATTCTGTGAGCAGCGTAGCAAGTGTATGTAACCAGTCCTGAACGAACGGTCAATCCGGTGTCTCGCAAACCGCTCGCTCGATCTGGATTGATCGGTTGGACGTACTCGTAAGCACTCAGTCGTCGGGAAGAGACCAAGTTGATTAAAAAAAAAAAAGTGATTTAACCGGTGTGCAAATTTTGGATTACCCTTTCTCGCGAGGTAAGAGCAGCTGCATCTTTATCGCGATATTTATTTAAATTTATTGATGTGACATATAGAAGAGACTTGATGTAACTTCTTTTAACATTATATCGAATTTGATTTAAAATATAGCAGACAATACTTGAAAAACCAGCTTCGTAAAAATTCTTCTATTTGTATAGAACACAATTGTGAAAATTAATTTTCTCTACAATAAATATAATCGTAAAATTTCAAGTAATAGAAACATAATTACACTTGTATAAAAAAGAATTAAATACAATTATTACAATTACCACTTGTAAATTATCAGCTTGACACACTGCAAATTGATATTAATTGTTTTGACATATAGAACAGCTCTGTGCAAGTAAATAAAATAATTTCCGTTAAATAATTATTGGTGCTAGCCGTGAGTGAATTGCGCTATCGACACTACGTAGTAATTATTCTTCCTCGTCGCTTTAAAAAAAAAAAGTCCCTCAGTTCCTTGAATGACTGCAGACAGTGACTGTCATTATGCCACACATGTCATTGATTAACACGCTATGATTTCTAGCGTTACCAGGTTGAAGAATCTTAACCAGAAATCTTTCATATTTCTCACGACTACTTGTTTTTAATGCGCGAACTAAATTCAATGCAAAATTACATATTTTATACAAAACTTAACATAAGCTTAACATAGACTTAACATAATAATAATTACTGAATTATTATGAAAAATATATAGTTTTTATGTTAGCAATTTGTGCTTTTTATTTCATTGAAATATCAATTGTATAAACAACTTTAATTGTATTAACTGTCTGATACCTACCAGTTTAATATGTCGACTCTGGTGTTTCTTCAAGCACACGTAATACGGTGAGCAGATGATCGAAGATAGGCGGAAGGTCAAATCCCACTTTCCGTCTTTGCAGATCTCTCAGCCATGTTAGGTGCGTTTTAAAAGATCGCTCAGAGTAAATACCGACATGCATAATTCATGAGCTACATCACAGACTACGTTACAACCTTCATTAAGAACTTTGTAAGAGCAATAACGCACAAGAATTTAATTCGAGTTTGTTTTCTCTCTTTAACAAAATTCGTTATACTTATGAATCTTTTTTTATATTTTTTCCAATTGTCAATTGTTTAATTTAAAACAAAAACTGAAAGCAAATTGTTTTGAACAAAATCTAATAAAATTTAAATTCTAAAAATTATTTTTTACGCTGTTCTTACGCTCCATTTTCATCAGCAGAACGGTATATTTCTGCCTGAGACGGATAATTCGGAAAATAAATAAAACTGGCTTGTAGATTTGTACAACTGGGATGAGAGAGAAAAAAAGAGAACGCCATGTGACAAAAGTAGAAGCAAACTTAGGCGCAATGCCAGAGACAGACATAAAGGAGGGAAAGGAAAGAACAGCTCATAAAATTTTTATCAAACACAAAAAACCGGCATGTCAAAAATAGAACCGCATTCATTTGCAGATAATTTTCCGTAAAGTTTACATTACCAAAACTTGTATACACATATATTTTTACATTAAATATTATTAAATATTATATTACATTATAAATTTAATAATGTTCATAAAGGAATTTACTTCGCGCATCAGTTAAACAAAGTCCAAATGCAAAAAATCCGCGTCGATAATTGATTTCTTGCATATCAAATGCGCTCAGCAGTAGAAAATCTGGTAAGAAAAAGTAAATAATGATATATAAAAGTGAGTGGGTTAAATTTAAACGGGTTAAACAAAGAATGGCGGCGGGAACAGAGAAAGAGATGAGAGAAAGAGAGATTAGACACAAGATTCTGGGCGCCAGTTGGTTGGACCATTGCCACCCACGTAATGTCAAATGTCATCATCAAATTTACACAAGATAGAGCTTTATATATTCTTTTTTCACACGTGTATCTCACATACGTATCCACATGTGAACGTTAATAAAGACGACAGACGCGATTCAAGTTAATGACTACGCAACAAATTGTGGAATTTTTAACTTATGTTTCACGTGACAATTTTATTACTTGTACAGTGATAAAAAAGTTTATGCTAGTTCGTGAACTCTCATGTTTATGTAAAGTAAGTTAAACAAAATGATCAGCTAAACTTGAAACTTTTATATGTATTTTTTTTTCACACGAAGGCCATTGATGAGAAACATAAGAAATTGGAGAAGTTTCTCGTATCGAGAACTTTAATACTCTCCCGCGCTCGTAATCAATGTTGGTATCGCGTTTCAATCACGTTCAGATTGCTGGATCAAATACAATGTACTTGATCCTTGGAAGAAAGCAGCGCCTTTTTACACGAGTCTCATTTACAAAGAGACAAATTTTGTAACAAACTACAAAAAGAATTATTATTATTTAAAAACTAAATTATAATTCTATCAACGGCGCATTTGTTATGTTGGCGTGTAATGAAAAAACATCTCTGTCTGATCTCAAATAAAACTAGTTTCTTGAAAGATTATATATTGTCGTTGGTCAAATTAAATATACTTTTGCAATGCTGTACAACTCTTATTATTTTTTCCCTTCTTGCATCTGCACATTGCATTACTTCACAATCTCTTCATGTTTAAATAAGACGAAAGTGATTGCGCAAGATTTGTGATCGGTAACGCGCAGGTGCAAAATGAAATTATTGTTTGTATCTCATTTCAGCAGTCGAGAAAATACAAACATCTTCGCTGATTACGCTTTATAATTAAAATGTAAAAAAAAAAAATGGAATTGCGACTTACAAAACCATATTTATTGCTCCAGAGGTCATATTACAGATTAACGTAAGACTCACCCAGTCAGATATCCTTCTTGGAATCGAACAAATTGGAGTTATCGTCGTTTCGATTGACACGATAACCTTGACAGAGTATAGAGTACAATGTCATCAACGACGACCGGAGCTAACTGTCAGCTTAAAAACGGTTACTTACATCACGTGCTGTCAATGACGCGTAACTAACGTTTGACAAAGCACGACCGCACGAGCACACAATGCTTCAAACTTTAACAAATTCTTTTTTAATCGTATTGTTTGATCATTGTGACCGTTTTACAATTATTGACATTATCTATTTGCCACAGATTTTATTTATCTCGTAAAAATGTACTTCGCAACTATGACTATTAGAAGGAATTTATCATACGATTTATATTTTTCTGTGCAACACAGCTTGTTTTAATCACACCACTGTAACCGATATCGCTCATTCGAGCTGATCCAGTAGTTACGTGCGTTCTATATTAAACAGGAATGACGCGGCGTGCTTTGAAGTCAAGTTATAATCCGAAAGTGAAATTGTGCGATAAGTTCAAGTAGTATAAAATCATTATCGGGACTGATCTCTCGATTACCTACTAGTGCAAATTTATTTGATTTGTTAATTCATATGTGCGTTACTCGTGGTTGACATAACTATTATAGAGAATGTTAAATTTTGCTTTTGAAAATAGATTAAATATATAAAACAGAATTTATAAAATATTACAAAACACAAGATTCACATAAAATTTCAATAAACAAAAAAATCACTCCAGAAAATAAGCGTGTACATTTCGTCGATACGATATGTCATTACTGAAAGTAAACCATCTTTAAGTGCCTGCACTACGTAGACCGAGTGCGATATGTCATTAACAACTCGTAAATCACAATCAAGCATTCATATTCGTCGCAAAGGCGCGTACAATAACGCAATTGACCTTGATCTCTATTCATCTGGCCTTGAACTAATTTATCCAAATCTGTCTCCTCAATAAGGAACATTTGTCATTGCCAAATTTAGATCAAAGATTCTGATTTTTTTTCTTCTTTGCGATTGAGCAACGTGAGAGCGCGATTGTTTCTGTAATAGATGGTGAAGAACAAATTCCAGAAACTGTTTCGCCGCGTGTATTTTGTACATCTTTAGCTGCCGATTCGTAGAAGATCTCCTTGGCCCCTTGGCCTCATTCGTATTGGTGCCTCCGGAATAAATAAAAGACCATTTGGCATTTCCGCCGGTTTAGTTTCCAGACCAGATCTCGTCTCTCTTTCCTCGAATAATTCGTATTTCTGAGGAAAGGGTCCATTTTTTGCTCTGAAATCTTTATATATTTTTTCTATACATAAAAAACAATTATGCAAAATACAAGAATATTTTATATTGTAAACTGTCGACGATATTGTACTAATGTTTCTTGCCTTTTAAATAGCCAACGATACGTTTAAGCAACCGCTTTTATGACTTACGGTAAAAATCACATACACGCACGACGGAAATCATGAACCAACACCCACTCACAAACCTAAAAGTGGCCACTCTGGTCACGGCTGCTGCGCGAGCCTCGTCCGTAAACCGGCTTCGAATGGCGAGTGCGAAAGTCTCTGCGAAAGTCCACGAGACTACAAACACGAATCTTAATATCGGTTCTATTTATAACCTCGAGCTTCTATAAGCGATAGGGCGTTGTTAGTAAGTACGAGATACGTATCTATCTGCCGTTGTCATTCCGGTTATTCGACGTGCTCCAGAAATCCGAGATCGATTCGATAACCGCGCCACGAATGAAACTGATCAATGACAACTCGCAATGAAATTAATCGGAATCGTCTCCGCGTGTGTTTACTTGTTATAGATATCGTGAGGGCAGGGCTCTAAGAGGAACAACACAATGTCAGCAGCTGTGAGGGAGAGAACGACGACTCACACCAGCAGGAAGATCGTGAGTCATGGCGGTCCTATATCTGGCCAGAGAGACGGAGCAGCCACGGCCAGCAGCCTCGAAAACAACTTGGGTAAATCTTTAAAATGTGCCATCAGAGATGTAATCCTATCCATTTGTTCGTTTCTTCCTCGCCGTTCTATTTTCCGTCAAATTTTAAAATCCACGAGAGATTCACGAACACGTATTTTACGCGAACTTTGTAATGTAAGATGCTTACAATGAATAAAAAATGATGTTACAATGTAATTACATATATTTTGTTTGTATATTTACGTTTCGTAATGGAATAATATTTTAGATGTATAAATGTCGACGCGATTTAGTTATCTATGTACTTATTTGAAAGAAAGTTGCTCTTTCACGTGTGTATTTTTTCGTTAAAAATGATTCGTTAAGAAGTTTTTGAGAAAAAACGTGTTAAACGTATAATTGATTTGTTTGGCTCTTTTAGACGCACTTCTCGAGGACTTGCAGACGAGTGTCTCGAGAAGTGCCACTCCTAGCCGAGAAAAAGCACTCTTGCCCCAAGTTGAATATCGAATGGCTGCCAACCCCACCAGAGTGATTTCCGAAGGAAGGTGTGTGAGAATTAATAATTTCAAATCAGATGTTCGTTTGAACAACAATTTGAAATATGACTTATTTATTTGCTTACAATCGTGTAATCTCCGACGAGAGCGAAATTGTTCAAATTTAAATTTTTACCTGCAGACCCATGTCTCCGACTCGTACGAAAGTGACCACCACTGAAAAATTCGTCAGCAGCGGTCCAACTGGAGCATCAAGCGGTATTCCGGGACTAGAATTTCTCGATGCAGAGCTTCAAAATGTAAGTTTCCGATTATCTTTTAGAAAACTTTATTCTAACTAACACAAATACTTGTCAGTTATTATCAGTGAATATATCGCGCGTATCAATTACTTTTAAAACTTAAATCGTAAATTTTGTACGGAAGATGATGCGAGAGATCCAGGTTCAACTCTCGGCCGAGATGTCTTTTTCGTAATGAATTTTATTTAAAAATATATTTCGCGAACATACACGACTCACATTGACCGAAAAATTATTTGATAAATAAATTTGATAAAATTTGATAAATACATTTATAAATTTGATAAAAAACTAAACGACCTTAGATTTGCAAATTGGTTGAATCGTAAAAAACAAAAACTTTAAATCCGGAATAATGTGAGTTATGTTGTCTTATTGTTCGGTAAATATGTAGTTATGATGGCCTGTGGGGAAATCCAGGAACAGGAAAGAACGATAATCTCGACACGCGCCGGATGAAATTACTTAGACGTTGACGGCACTGGTTCTTGCACAAAAAAATACGCACATGATTAATGCATGCAAGAAACTAGTTTCACGCGCCCTTGCTGAGATTACTGGATGCGCTGTTGATCAAAAAACGACCATTTTGATTACCTGATGTTAATGAAGTAAGCCTATTCGATAATACTTAAAAATTTCCGAACACAACCGGCTCGAGTCGAACAAGCAAAAAGTGAAAGGTTTTGATTAATATCAACCATACATTATGATTATTCGCAGAATTCGCAAATCTATTACAAAAGATTTTTACTTTTAAATCAATCTGAAAATTCAATCGCTTATTTTAGAAAAATTTCGGATCTATGAAGAAAAAGTTGATTATCGATTGATAAACTGCATCGTAAGTCTCTGATATTCATCAACAACGTTGTTACGAACAAATATATTATCCCGCTCGTTAATATTATAGAGAAATCAAGCGTATAGAAAATTGCAGAGTATTAATCACTTGTGTGGTAACACCCACCGGGTTTTATGCATCTCACTAAATGCAGTTCCAATTATATGCATACGCTACGCAGATTACATCGTTCGTGTATTTGCCCTGAGGTGCAAGTAACGCGCATATAGACAACCAACATTAAAAGCTCCCCTCCAGCTGCAGAGAGAAAACGCAAGAAATAATAGTGAGATCATTCTTATACTTGAAAGAAGAGAGTCACATCGAGTCCCAACCAACAGCAAAAATAAATTCGTTGGTCATATAACTTCGCTGTAATGGCCGCTCGTGCAGTTAACTAACTTCATCGAAGCCAAATCGTGATCGTCTGATGACCGCAATTATGCCGCTCCTTCACTCTGCCGGTTGACCTATGGTCTTCGAACGCGAAGCTTCAAGAAATATTTTCACAAAAGAAAATCGTGATAAGAAAAACGAAAGAAATTGATAAAAATAAAATTTTGATAAATGTTCAATTTTGCACAATTATTTTATGTAAAAAATAATAAAAAATATATATCGCGAGAACTACGTATCAACTGTGTAATAATAATAATAATAGCTTTTTGCAAAATATTTGACATTAGAAGATCACGACACTAGGCATCCGCGATGTCTTGCGTGTGATTGAGAGCAAGATAATTGCAGTGTTTACTGGTACTTTATGACCTGACATTCAATGAAAATAAATTAGTTTGTAACTCTTCGCATGTGACTAGGCTGATATCTTCAATTTAAGTAACGAGCTAAAAGAATTTCAAGCGATGCCACCTCCGTAATCTTATCTATTTAAAAATAATAAATTATGTGTAATTACAATTCTAGTCGTTTAGATATCTTTATTGTTTTTTTTTTTTTTTTTTTTTGACTTTTCTGTGCTGTATGAGATCTAATTAATGTAATCTACAGTCTAATCTAATCAAAAACTTTACACACGTGTTACTCATGTACATTTCTCTTAATATTTAAAAACACTTAATCGTACAAAAGTAGCATAAGATGCGCATATTAAAAGATCGAGATAGAACGTTTTTTCATTCGCAAATCACGATACCTCCTCTACTATTTTATACACGCGCTTTGCAGTTAAAACAATTATCACTCGAGTGTGATTCGTTCCGCGGGATTCAAATGTCGTTACAATTCCAATCCGCCCATGCGTTCGGAACAATCGTAATCAGAGTCTTATAAGGAAAGTTCGAGAATGACACATCGCCCACGCATTACTCGCACCAATTCGTTAAGATCGGATCAATGCTGCATAAAAAAACGAATGACCTAAATACCTATGAATATATTGTGAGACTTTTTCTAATTGCTGCTTGCATTTGCAGGTCCAACCCGGTCAGAGTAAAACGATAGCGTACAAGCAAGTGTCGTATCAATATAACAAAGATCTCGACGGGAAATCAGGTAAGACAGAGAGAAAGAGAAAGAGAGAGAAAGATATACTTGCGTTGCGCAACAGAAGCAATACGTATGCAAATAAGTACATTGGTATTTATTAACATACATGCGTTGTCTATACACTGTCTTACCGTACTACCGTACGGTAATTGCGTGGCATCCCGTAAAATACTGAGATTTCTCGAAATAACTAAGCTAGTAACACACACCTCGATTTCATCGCGGGGCCGCAGTGAATAACACGTGAAGCGATCTCGGAAGGTAGGGGGGCTGGTTACTCGTGTCGCGCCTTTTAAGGCGCGTGGCGGCCTTGCTGATTTACGGTTAATTGTTAATGAAAAAAATCGAACGGATCACACAATATCTTCAGCGTCGACTACTCGGTTGTATCACGAACAGTGCATTGAAGTAAATTTTGCGTGGACAAAGAAATGTCCAAATGTCTTATCGTCTTTTCCTACACTTTCATAAACTTTAATAAAATCAATTTTTATCTAATAAGTAATTAAATAACGAAATCAACAAAACAAAGTTGCTTGAGAAAGAATTCTTTTTTCGAAATTTTATTCCAAAGAAGTACAAATTGATGAAAATTTCTCTGCCTGGCAGAGGCAATATCGCTTATGTTTTTTATGATCGCGTATAACACACAAACGCGGCCATATTAGGACCGCTTATATAGCAGAAGGCTGGCCCGATTTCCACATAACTCTCTAAAAGAAAGAATGAAAGATAAAAAAAAAAAAAGACCGAAAGAGAGGAAAGATCACGATCCGGAGAGATAGAGAGATAAAATACACGATATTTATTAGAAGAACATCGATTAAAAAGATGTCCTTGTCAGTCATAAAATAAAAACAATTGCTAAAGTAGTTATTTCGTAGATTTTATGAATCTCATGTCGCGTCCACAGATAAAAACTATCGCCATAAATCATTGTGGCTCACATGACGTTTTGTTATTTCAAATATTGCGCGTTCATTAAGTAATTGATATTGATTATCATAGAATATTTCTCTATGGTGTAGTTCTTTCTAAACTGTTATCATAGTTTTTTTTATAAGCGTAACAATCATATTAGATGATCATTATTTGTTGTTTCAGACTCGTGGACTGTATCAGATAACAAACAGCTTGGCGCGCCCTTGGTGTAAGTGTATATAATTCTGCTTTATAATAAAATCCTAAAATACTATCGGTTTCTGACTGAATGCCAAACGACTTAATCATAAAGCGTCTTGTGTTTCTCGTTCACATAATCACAAATAAATAAATTTCTTGATTGGTTTTTAAATTATACGCGACATTTGAAATCTGCAGATAGAAACGCGAACGAATTATTTGAATATGTTTGTCTATTCCACAGTGAGCGTGTTAAAATTACAAAGTCTAATTGTAATAAAAACTTCTTACATTTACAGCGACGACATTCATGAAACCGCTTACGAAGAGACTAAAACCCCAGCGCCGTACTCGTACCAGAGCGCAGAACCGGTCATCAAAAAGACAGTAGTTAACAGAGAACTGGTAAGATGAAGTATATTATACTGTAAATGTTCAAAGTGAAATAACTTGTTTATGTTATTTCACATCTAATGTTATTACAGGTTTATGGCGACAGCTCAACGTCTCGCTCGAAGCAAACCTCGCCTTTGCCAGGAACTCAAAGAGACGTCAAATATGTTCATGAATCTAGTAAATACATCATTAAAGAGAAATTCAAATATATCTAATTGTAACATAGAATATAAAACAGACGTATTTTAATCGGCTTTTGCTTTTCAAGGTTATCAAACCGAACCACGATCGAGCACGGTGACTACAGTGCGCACGAATGTTCCGCAAGAATATAAAAGCGTCGAGTACGTGCCAGTTCCGTCGCCAACGCCAGCGATACCGGTCAATCTGGCACCCGGTCCAAATACAAAAGTAACAACAACGATCAAGACGTATACCTACGAACTGCCGGGAGCTCCGGAGACGTATCTGCCAGGTAGCAGTGCGCCAGGAACCGTCGTGTTGCCCGGCGATCAAAGGATCACGTACACCTTACCGAGAACCAGCGGCACTACCACCACAGACAGGACAATCACGTATCAGACTCTGGCAGAAAATACACCGGGACATCCACCAAGTCCACCAGTCAGATACAGTAGCTCGCCGACCGATGTCACCGAAAAGTCCACGACTTATCATAAAGAGTCGAAGTTCTACCGCGAGGAACATCTTGGTGGCCAACCGACACAACCTTCTTATGTCTATCGCAATGGTCCACCGCCGACAAATCTGGAAACCAAAACCACCGTGACCGAGAAGTATTATCAAATGGACGGTAATTATCCTGGTGGACCAGGCGATCGTCCGGACTATCCTGGAAGCACAATCATATATCAAAATCAACCGCCTACCATCGAGCACACTAGAACCATTAATCGAATCGAGGAATACAAACCTGGCAGACCGCCATCCAGCGGACGTCATTCAACGCCTGATAAACCGGACACAAGAACGACTTATTATCCGCAACAGAGCACACCACCGCAGTCCAGCACGACAATCTACAAATTTTCGAACACTACGACAACCGTACCGCCGAACAAAAATGCGGACGATCACGAAGTCCTCTTGCCAAGACCATTCCCGACTGGTGTTCAAGTGAGTCCTGCCAAACCAATTAGTAATGGCGAAGGTCCACCGGCAAAACTCGAGGATCTTATGGCTTCGTTTTCCGACTCCGAGGTAAAATTAATAAATTAATTGTAACACTGTATTTTAATATACATGATCAAGAATCTTATATATGTATTTCGTTGCTCAGCGAGAAGTATTGGAGGATATAGAGAGACAAGAACGTCGAAGTAAAAAAGAATCGGCAGCTACGAAAAAAGAAGTTGATTTTGTCCCGCATACACCACCGAAAGTTAAAAGCACGAATATTGCTGGCCCACCGGTCTATTATCCACCTGGTTCAGCAGAATTTACTAAGAAAGAAGAATCCAGTGCAGCTATGTCTCAATCTAGCGTAAGTCAACAACCTGTATTACGCCCGAGTATTTATAAAACATATTTTATATATTTCTCGTGAAAGATAATTAGCACAATTTATTAATCAATTTTTGTTTTATTTTTCAGGGAGGATGGCAAAAGGCTAGCGGAAAGTACGAATATGAAGCTTCTAGCAAAAGCAAGACTAAATCCAGCAAAGGAGGAGCTGTTGTTCCAGTTTGCCTGCCTTTGTGCTGCGCGTTGCCATGTGTTATTATGTAATTTATTTTTATTACACCTGTAAGATATTAATCGAATACGTGGAGCCACATACTGACATTATATAATTTAATCAAACAAGCCACAGCATGCGAAAGGTTACGAGATTAGAACATTTAACGCAAAAATATATAGTTTATGTTAGAACACAAGTTTTATATTGTTCTTTTTCTTGCTAATGTGTGAGCTAGAATTATTTTGCACGTTCTGCCTTCTGTTTTTCTTTCTTTTTCTTTATTTACTTTACAAGATTTGAACATATACTTTTCAAACAGAAAGTGCAATTGAGAGAACTATATTATTTATGTGTGTATATGTATTAATATTTAAAGTAAATCAAGTTATATGATAAGCAAATAATCAAAACAAATATTATTGTATGTCATAAAATTGAATCTCAGTAATACTAACTTTATATATCAAAAATCAATATGACGATATCTTGCTAATAATTAATAAATAGCACGCACACATGGAATGCACAATAGACTATTATATGTAATAAATTAGATTTTTTAATAACAAGTATTTTTATACTTTTATTTATACATTGTCTTTTATTGTCAAAATGTATATTGTACATTATATTGAGGTGACTTATTAATGTAATCAAATTAAAAAATATTAATTATCAGACTTTTTTTACGCAATATACAACTATTAAATAAATCTTTAAATTAATGGTATATGTGAGATAAGATACTATTTATCTCAAAATTAAATATTATTTAAACAGATCTTTTGTGGTTAAACAAATAAAGCATATATAAACAATATATATATATACGTATACAAATCATAAAAAATTAAAAATATTGTAATAAATAGAATAAATGAGTTTTAATGATATATTACCGTGAATTATGGTGCTATAATAATTTTAGTTTATAAATGTATGTAAAGGGGGAGGGGTATAAATATCGCTGCAAACATAAATCATGCACATTGCATTGTGGATACAAATATTTAAATAATTATGCGAAAAAATTATGTCATAACATATGTTGTTACTGTATGGTAACATAACAGGTTGTACTTTAATAAAGTTGCTGATGTTTTTCTCAAATATTAATATTTCTTTCCAATCATGCGCTTTACTTTAAATGTGTTCTTTTGTTTGCAAATGTTAATAAAAATAAATCGCATATACTATAGCCACGCAAAATATAGTATCCTAAAAGAACAACACGCAATTAATTCATAATGACAATGAGATATAAAAAAAAAGGATATACATATATCTTGAAACATATGACAAGTGTCAAAGATTAAATTGTATCTCTTTCTTACATTGACATAACTATCATAAGCATAAGTGTCAGCTTCTGCGTCCCAAATGCATCTTGTACCTATTTTTACACCCGCTCCATGTTGCTGTCCCAAAATTACATTTACAATATATTTATATCTATTAAACTGTAAATCTGTAAAAACCATGTCAACAAAAAACTACATGTTTGCATACATATATTAAGATTTATACAAAGAAAACAAACATTGCCTTTGATTTTTCTCTCAATATTATCTGCTATATCTTTGGTCCATTGAGCAGCTGCCTGTGCGTCATATGATTTTGTAGCAAGTTGATCAAACAATACATCGTGAATTATTTCTTTTGCACTTAGAGGTTTAAATCTACGTTAAAAGTAGTTTAATTTTAATCATATGTATTTAAATTCTTTGTAAAAGAATATCAATTGTTGTACAATAGACAATATATAGTTTTACTTTGAAAATGAAATAATATTTATTTCACAATTTCAAATGCAAAATTATGTACAATTTTTGAATGAACCTATTAAATAGACAGATAGAAGTACTTCTCATAAAGTTGAGGTCGTATTTGATAAACTGGTTGTTCAGCTGTTTCCCCATTGCCACTCACGCCTTCCATATCTTTTCTTTCTTTCTCTTCGGTTATATCTTTCACCTCTTGCATCACGTCATGTTTCACTAAATTTATTCGCTTTGCTCCTGCCATTTGCAGGATAAATGTGAGATACTTTTACAATTCTCTATCAACTATAATATTGAGGTTAGGAAAATGCTCTTCAAGTTTACCACTAGAGTAACTACGGGCAACAATGCACAATGCGCGTCAGCAGAATCTATGGACAGAATATACAAACAACGTAGGCAGTAAACGAGTTGACCAATGGCAGGCAAATCTTGAAAAAACGCCACAAAGAGCTTTCTTTCATATTAAATTGAACATATTTCGTTTAATTATTTAATATCCTATATTAAAAAAAGCATTTGGACCGAGAAGTGCACGTTTGGAGTCGAATATATCGCACCTATTGTTGCCTCTTTTCCGCGTTGCCGATTGGTTAGTTGGTTGATCGAGCCGAATCGAATCGGGGTCACTGACCTCGGCCGCGCGATCGCGGC